AAATAGTTCGAATAAATAATAGTTAATTATAAGTATACAGTTGGTTTATGAAACTTGTAAGTACTAATATCCAACTGTAGAGGTAGCTTTCCTAAGATATTGAGCTTCATTCATTGAATTACTACTGTGTTCTTATCTAAAAAATTATATCATTTTGTCCATTGCAAAATCGTTTCATGTTTAATAATAAAAGCTTTTTTGTGTTTGACGTTACTTTGTAGGGAATTTCGCTAATAGAGAACATTTTTAAGTATTGAACAGATTCGAAAAACAGCATTGAAGTCATTCATAAAAGACGCTGAGAAACAAAAAGGAGAGAGTGGATAATCCAAACCGAAGAAGTTCGGACAGAGGAGGACGAGAAGGAAGAGACCCCTAATACATACAAACGTTCAAGGAATTTTTCGCTATTTTGTAGCATTTTGTAAAAGAGTTTTTTAACATCGGAGAAGTCTCAGTTGGGAAAAGGTGAGATAATAGAAAGCGATTTTTGAACAAATATCTTTTATGAATAGTTCCATTCTACAATAATTTATTCTTTCAAATTTTGAATATGTTTTAGATCTTTGATTATTATTTACATTGGATTTACCTTTCGTAAGTTATCAACATATTCTGTCATATTCCATCAAAAATCGATTCAAAAAATTTTCAATTTCAAAGTAATGAAATGAATCATCTTTTGTTTGTCATAACTATGAAATGTTTACTCATATGTACTATCTTTACTGGCAAAAACTCACCAAACATAATATCTTTTGTAAATAATCGTTTATTTTTTCCGTTAGGTGAATGTAGTAAAATATTTCGATTGACATCATCAGGCGATCTAGATTGTTTATTGATTGTTTTGAATTGTTTATTAGAAAAATATTCTTGTTCATCAATAATTTCTTTTCTTTCATTGATTACATGACGATCATCGATTGCATTATTCATTAGAGGAATTTCTATTGTTTCTATAAGAAATTTTTATTCAATCAAATGAAATAATAATCATTTCTTTTGTGTATCTGAATGAGAAAAACAATGTTGAGATAAATCATAATTAGAAAATAATGAATTTTCGACATGAATATAATTATTTTGATCTAGTGAATGATAATTTTCACGAGCATGTGGAGCAATTTTATTTACATCATGAACAAAATGAGATGAATTTAGTTTTAGTTGACATCTGAATAATTGATATATCATTTAAAAAATTCTCATAATATGTTTACTTTAATGGTTCTATTGTTTGATTCAATCCATAAATAGTAGTTAAATGATTTGATATTCGCGTTTGAGAAGTCTTTTGAATTCGATTATTCAATTGTTTATTTGATTGACAAAACACATGAATACTATCAATCGAATATGAATAATTTTCATCTGTTATACTCAATGTAGAACAACTAGATTCTTCACTGTTAAGTTTTATTAATGAAATCTTTTTCTCAGATTTTTTATTTTCAAATGCTTGTATCCATTGACGATTAAGAATTTGTTCAATAGTAATATTAGAAATTTGTTCAATGATTATATGATTATTATTTTGATTAAAATTTTGTGATTGATTAAAAAGTTGTACACGATTTAAAGATTTTTTTCGTCGAAATTTAAATAAACGTCTTGTGAATAATCTAAATCGATTTATAATTAATCGATTTTTTGTTTGTTGTAATAAATATATTTTTAAAAATTCATTACAACTTTTTGTTTGTTTATTAATATTTAAATTTGATTCATAATAATTATTATTTTTTGAAGATATTTTTCCAAATTCTTTTTTTTTATCGTTCATTGAAATACTTTGCGCTATTTCAGTACTTGATCGTGTGGGATAAATTGTTCTTATTGGACTATCAGAATGAGTAAGACTAGTTTCTTGTAAATGAAAAGGAATTTTTGCATATGTTTCACCTACTATTGTATCTTTACGTCCTCCGATAGCTATTTATTTAAATGAAAAAGAGAAACAAAATAAGAAAAACTCAGTTTATTATTTATTTCAAAATATAATGCACTTATGTAAAGCTTATTATGACGATAAAATGTAACTTGAAGTGAAGTATTCATGTTATCCCATCAGTAACAACTCTAGCAGACTTTGACAGATCCAAGTCTATTCCAGAGTTATATTTCATAGACTAGGATAGACTCGGACACTTTTTGTCTTCTTCCTATTTGATTGATAGATATGAGCAGTGCATCAAAATTCTTGTGCAAATATCAATAGTTTTCGTCACTTTCGTAACTAATAATAATATTTTTTTAGTCAAGCACACTTGGAAAGAGCCTCACTATATATCGGCAATAACTAGAAGCGGGAATTCTGCACTACAAGTGAAGAGGAACTGTACAAAAAATCTTAGCTAGATGAACTAGAGTCCATTAAAATTTTTGCTAATCTTCAGGGACTAAGATCATATGTCCCAAATATCTACATGTTTTTTGAAATGCACATTTTCTTATGTATTGTGAATTTTTTTCTGATCAGCGCAACTATTATGCACTAGAAAATGTGGGTTCGAAAAAAGAAGCACTAATCCAATATGTTACCATCATTCTCAATAATAATATTTATTCAGCTACTTCATTACTTCAGTCGTGCCTATTTAACGTACGACAAAAGGCTATTATTAGAGAGCGAAATTTACCAATATCGAGATACCTATCTTCTAAAGTTTGGAGCATTCCAGTAAGAGAACCCAAATCGATCAAATAACTATTTTTGCTATCAATTTTGAAGTCATCTAAAATCGTGAAGTTAATATTTTCTTTATTTTGACTTTCCGATCTGTATATAAGTATAGCACTAAACATTGACATACTGATTTAATGACTTGAGATCGATTCAGAAATAGAGGAAAAGAATATTATTCAATTGACTATAAAAACTCAATGGCATGAGTTAATTCAAGATTTTTCGAAAAATATTTCTTAGCAAAATGAACTGAAATAATGAAATCTACATAGTAAAGGTGATAGGATTTGAAATGCATGTTTGCAAAACGAATTTGCGGATACATTCTAATTCTAATTCGACAAAAATTTTAATAAATCCTTTAATTTACCCATAGGACTAAATGATGATGATGGTTTAGTATTTTTTGTAAGATTATCAACATGTTTGATTTTATTACGTAATTGTTGAAAATATTTTCTTTTTTCATTAAATTCTTGTTGATAAAAATTTTGATAAAAATTTTGAATAAAATTCTTTTCTTTTCTATTATCATTATTAAATGAAGAATTTTCTTTTAGTTCAATTAAAGATACTTGATCATCATTCGTCTGTATATCTTCATCATTTAATGTATTATAAGTTTGTTGTATTGAAAAATGATTTAAAATCATATATTGTAAACGTTGATTTAATTGTTTTAATTTTCTTTCATGAAATGTATCTAATATAGACATACCTAATTTCATACTTTGTACAGGTGTTAAAAAAATTAATGAATCTGAATCTCCACCACACGATTTACATAAATGTTTTTTTGATTCAATAAACAAAGCCATTTTTGATGAATAATCATGTTGAAATTGATCAATTATTGTTGCAAGTGTTGCTTCTTTTAATGTTGGATCTTTAAAAGTATACATACGACAATTTTCTATTTGTTTAGTTGTATTTTCTGGACAACAACATATAGGTGTCATACTTTAAAATGAATAATAAATAGAACAACAGAGCAAATTCATTTTTTTTCTTTTTTGAAAATTTTTACTTTTTTTCTTGTAATAATCTGGCAATATTAGAATTTTTTCTTGCTTCAAAATCAAGCCAAGCACATTCGAATATTTGTGCACGATATAGTTGAGAAAAGGCACTATTAATCTTTCAGCAAAGAATATTACTTTTATGGATGCAATTTACTGACAAGAATAATCAAAAAAATTGATTCATGCTACTGCAACGATGTGTAATTAAAAATATTTGTTGTAGAGATTTTGCTCTTTCTAACAAGAAAACTATCAAGTCTCCATGACGAGTTGTTGTCACGCTATACTGAAAACAAAAGTAATACAAAACTTCTGCAACACTATTTTTTGTAAAAAGTTTGAACTAAGACGGTCTAATCTCTGTAAAGAATATGATTGTTATTCTAGTGATATTTGATGAATTATTTGTAAAACTTGAATGTGTGACTATCATAGGTCATTGTTTTCATAATTTGTCGTAATCTAAGTTAAACCTCCTTCTGGTAAATATATAACATCAAGATCTAACATGATGCGAGATAAAGAAAATATTGACCGATTTTCTTATTAACTATTCTAGGTTTATTAAAATGATCAGAATAATCGATTCTTTCTAGACAGATTTTTAATACAATTTAAATAGATTAATCAGTAGTCTAGGAAAATTTCAGGACTGCTATTGAAACGTTCTTCTATGTATGTATGATAGCTGAAGTCGAAATATGAATTTTTCATGATTTATGTTCGTATTATTATTCTGATTTAAATAATTTATTTACAAAAAAGTGATGCACTGAGTTACAAAATGGAGTTAATTGAAACATTAAACGTTTGTTCCATTTTTAAACTATTCTTAACTTTCCAATATGAATGACCATGATAGCTGAATGGTGTCGTTGTTTGGCAGGTATCCACAAGGTACTGTGCTTAAGCATCGATATCATCAATCATGAAATGATCCTATACAAATCATTAATGGCTCTTTATCTCGGATCATCCATTTCATAGTATGCTGACTACGTTGTGATATACACCTGCTCTTGTGGTGAATTAGCGCAAAATGGGAAGCACTAGCAATTGAGCGCAAGGACTCTGCTTCAGTCTGATCTTCTATCCAGAGCCAAAGATATCAGACTACTGGATGTACCACTAGACAGTATTCCATACAGCAAGATGGCCGAGAGGCAAGAGTATTCTTCTATCCTTTCGTTCTCCAATATTAATTTTGCTATTTTTCAAAAAGAAAAAATTCACATAAACAACAAAACTTCAAGAAAAATGTAAACAATTTTTATTAATTTTTTCTTTACTTTCAATAAATCTGCATTTAATCCAACTGTATGATTTTTATTATTATTTAAATGATGTTGATGTAAATTTAACATTTCATTTGTATGAATATCATAATTTGTTATTGTATAAACAATAATTCTAAATATTAAAGACGAAAAAAGTATTTCTCTTTTCCTCTCATCTCCTCTCCAAAAACCCCAACAATAAAACTAAATGAAATACCTTTTTGAAATATTTTTTGTAAATAATGAACTTATTTTTGCAATACGTTTTTCAATATCTCTTAATTTATCAATTTTAACATGAACATTTATATTTTCAATAACAGTTGTATATGTCCAAAATTTATTTCTATCTGGATCACATATTCGACATAATTGTGGTTCAACATATTCAAATAAAATTTTAATATTTCCTGTTGCTGGATCATGTTTAACAACACGTTTCCATAAATACTTTTGTATACCTTCAATATATCCATCATTTAAATCATCATCATTATTAATTGTTTCAATTCTTATTATTTGATTTGATAATAAATCTGATAATAATTGAATAACATTTTGTGGATGACCTCTTTTATTTAAAAAAAAAAATTTTATTTTATTAAAAATAAAAATTTAATAATAATTATCAATGAATACAAACTTATCTGATTTTCGTGTAATTAATATTTCAAGATCTTTTGGAATACGTTGTACAAACATAGCTTGACATGCAAGTGTAGATAAATAGCGATTATCAAGACCTATGAAGTCAAAAATAAAAATAAAAAACATTATTCAACAATTCATTTTGTTTTCTTGAATAATATTAATCGAAACCCATAAGTTGAATATGTTTTGTTGTTGGTAAATCTCGAAGTGTAACCATACGTGTATGAAATTCATCATCATTTAATGTTGGATCTCTCATTGCCATTACAAGAAGAGAAGTTGGAGCTGAACCTATTTAGAAAGTCTTGTTTTTTTCTCAAGAAAGTAATAACGAAAAAAAAAAAGAATTTAAAACCAAGAAGATTAAGATATTGCCAAGATTCTTTATCGATATATTGAGCATCATCAATAATAAAAACTGTTGGTTGTGGTTGGTAATTAAATATTTCATAAGTTGAATCTGTTGCATTAATAATAAGTTCACGAATAATTTCTTCAAGCATTTTTCTTTTTAAAATTCCTGTTA